GAACTTGTATCATTTTGCTTAGATTCTCCGAAGCAGAGTGGTCCACCAGGTGAAACTGTTACAATTGAATAAATATTTTATTGTTTAGTTTTCTATACTGCACTATTCTCGAAGTTTGCACCACACACACACACACACACACACACACACACACATATATATATATATATATATATATATATATATATATATATATATATATATATATATATATATATATATATATATATATATATATATATATATATATATATATATATAGATTTATTTACGAACTACTGCCAGCCTCACACATGAGGCCTTAGCAGGGGTGGGTGATACAAAAAAGCAAACAAATATGAAGATACAACAGGAAAGGAAACACGTCACATAGAGCTACATCATCAAGAACTAGTGCATCAAAGTAAAACGCCAGTACTTACACAATTGTAGTGGTTACGCGTACACGTACAAAAAAAAACTATCATAATAAACATCTGCTCATACGGAACTAAGAAACATACATCACTTAACATTTCAAAAATACAACGCATTGATATGAAAAAAGTGATATAGAAAGTGGAACATAAATGGAAGCCTGTTTAGGATGCACGGTGGAATAATAAAGGGCGAAGCGCAAAGAAAGATCAAAGTCAAAGGGGTTGCTGGTGTTTAAGTTTTTCCATGAACGACTGAACGGTTTCGCAGTTCACCAGACCGGCAAAAAGAGAATTCTAATTAGTGACAGTGCGCGGAAAAAAATCAGTTTTTAAGGTTTTCGTTTGACAGGAATATTCCTTCAGTGTTTTTGGATGCTCGAAACGAGTTGATCAGCGGTGAACCGTTTTTATGTACGCGTGCTTGTCTATGCGTAGCTTGTCGTTGTAAAGTAGAAACATGTTACTTCAGTCGGTCGTGTTGCCGCCTTGCCTGCAATGTATCCAAGTCAGCTTTTTTACCAGTTCGCTGGGTTACGTTAGAGCACTGTAGCAAATATATACAAATCGGATTGCTTTTCTTTGAATCATTTCAAGTGTTTTAATATTTACTTGGCTAATGAGGGTCCCAAACCACAGATGAGTACTTGAGGAATGGACGGATAAAAGTTTTATACGCAAAAAATTTAATTTCGGGGTAGATTGGCGCAAAGAACGTCTTAGAAATGCTAATTCCTCTAAAGCTTTCTTTTTAATGTAGGCAACATGCTCATTCCACATTAAAATCTGCACCTAATATAACGCCCAAATATTTATAGGTTTTAGCAAACGATAGTTTTTGACCATTGATGGATATGAGTGTTTCAAAGGAAGCCGCTTTCACGTAACGGTCATAGCTACCATTTTCTTTTCATTATTCTTCATTTGCCACACTGCACACCAAGAAGACATTTTTGTTAACGCTGCGTTTAAAAAAACCTGGTCGCCTCACACCAAGAAGATATTTTTGTTAACGCTGCGTTTAAAAAACCTGGTCGCCTGCACTACGTATTTCCTGATAAAGAATGCAATCATCTGCAAATAACTTAATAGAAACCTGGATATCATTGGCAATGTCGTCTTTGAAAATAAAAAAAGAAGTGGCCCATGCACAGAGCCCTGAGGGTTTCCTAATTTCACCGGTCGTGAATCAGACTGAACGTTATCTATAGAAACTATTTGATTTCGATAAAAAAGGTAGGCCTCAATTCATAAAGTTAATGTACGGTTTTTTAGTATAGGTTTGAGTTTCGCGGGAAGTTTTGGATGTGACACGCGATCAAATGCTTTTTCGAAGTCTAGGAAAATCATGTCAATCTGGCCTTTTGTATCTAGAAAAGCTGCAATGTCATGAACGGTTTCCAACAGTTGTGTGATGGTTGAGAATCCTTTTCGAAAGCCGTGTTGTCGGTCATTGATTAAATTATTTTCCTTGAGAAAAACTGAGAGATGCTTGAATATATTATGTTCTAATACCTTCGCACATGAGCAAAGCAGGGAAATCAGTCTATAGGTGGAGACAAGAGAAGTGTTAGGTGATTTGGGTATTGGGATAATTTTTACGAATTTCCAGTCATCTGGAAGCGCGCGCTGTGACAGTGACTTCTAGAAAATGATGCACAAAAACTTCGAGCACCATTCAGCATACCTCAGAAGGAACGCGTTAGGTGCGCTATCAATACCAGGCGTCTTTTTGGGATCTATGTTAAGAAGCAGAGACAAGATTCCTTCCTCAGATATTGCAAGGTCACTTATTGGGGGGATATCATGAAGAGTTTTTGAACATGGCCTTCTCCCATCGTCATCAGTAAACACTGAACAAAAAAGTGGTAAATGATTCTGCAATAGTTCCTTCATTAGTTACGATAGTCCCATTTACACATATATAAGAAAACGCCTCTTGTTTGGGGTAAAATGCTGCCAGAATTTCGCTGGGGATGACAGCAAGAATTTTTTTAAAGTGACGTTATAGTAGTGATCTTTTGCTTCCTTGATACTGTCTTTTAATTCTTTACGCACGTTACTAAGTTTAGGCATGGTTGACGGAAAGGGGTTCTGATTATGCTGTTTTCTGAACCTGTTTGCCTTTCGCCCCAAATGAACAACAGGCATAGTAATCCATACGCTAACATTTCTTTATTATTTTCACTTTTTCTGGCACAAAGTCATGAACGCACTGCAACACAAGGTTTTTGAAGAAACACAAAAGGTTGTTAACAGTACAAGTACTACACTCAGAAAGTAAAGTGAATCGAGAAAAATGTAAGTCTAATGTGTCCAGTATTTCTACGTCTTTTGCGCGCGAGAAGACCGACACCACACGTTCTTCCCTCTTGCCTTTTGGAACTGTCAATAAAATTAATGCACATGTAAACCAACTTGTGATCGGATATTCCATCAAGCACATTGGTGTCTGTCACACGACGCTGCATGCGGTTGCTAAGGAAAAAAAGATCCAGAGTTGTAGCAGTAGCATTCTGTACGCGGGTTGGTTGCTTAACTAGCTGAGTTAAATCGTGAAAAAGAACTATATTGACTAAACGTTTCGCTGCATTTGGAGGTGGTACAGGAAAAATCAGTATCCCATATAACTGAAGGAGCGTTGAAATCACCGCCTACTATATATTACTAGAGCAACTGTGGACCATACAAAGAAATTGATTAAGCTTATCAAAGAATGCTTCGTCTGTGCCTGGAGGGCGGTGAAAAGCGCCGACTATGAACTTAAGATCGCTTGTGTCTACTTTCACAATTACGCATTCAAGATCCGGTATATCGGCTAATCTTTCAACTTGTAAGGTTTCCTTAAATATGATTGCAACTCCGCCGCCTCGACTACTCCTACTTTTGCGATAGATGCGGTAACCCTGGGGCGTGATCTCATCGTCACGAACGTCGCTGCGAAGCCAGGTTTCAGTAATTATCAAAACATGAGGGGGATACGTTAACACAACACTGTCTAAATCATCGCTTTTTGCTAGAATACTACGGGCGTACATATTCAGGCATCGGAAAAGTCCCCCGTTCTTGTCGTTTCATTTGTTGCGAGTTGCTCCGGTAAGCAGTCTGCTCGCAGAGACCATTCCACGCTGAACTTTATCTAATGTTAGCAATCGACTGTCAATCTTAATTTTGTCATGTACAAGTTTAACCTTTGTGCCCGATTTCCTAATATCTGAAGTGCTGTTTCATATAAACTTCCTGACGTGCCGAGTGCTTGCAGAGAAATCCTCCGAGACTGAGCTTCCCTTCCCTTTTAATATGAAGCAACTTTTGAGAACGTTAACTTTTTCCCTGTGGTCGAAAAACTTCACGATCACTGGCCGATATTTACCATGCTACCCTCGCCCTAGCCTATGAATTCGCTCGACTGAGTTTACGTTCACGCCCAAAGCATGCCTGAACACATTGCAGACTACGCTATCCATGAGGTCGTCAGAGGCGTCATCAATCGTTTCCGGTACGCCGAACACAACAAGGTTGTTACGCCAGCTTCTGTCCTCTAAATCAACGAGCTTACGTTCTAAGTATTGAACCGTATTTTCCAGGCTGCGAAGTTTATCGCTAAATCCTTTAACTATCTCAGAAGTTTCCTCCACAGTTTTTAATTTCAGCTCAATATCATCAAGCCTTTTTTGAACGTTGTTTTGACCTTCAATCAACTGTGACAACGATTCCGCAGTGGATAGTCCTGTATTGTATTCAACGTCTCCGCATAGCATCAGTAGGGACAAAAACACTTGCCTAATGTTACAATACAAGGTATACAAGCTACGTGGGCACGTCAGCTGGACAAAATAACATTTGCTAGTTTTAACAGATGATACTTCGTTACTAACCTGCACGTAGAAAAGAAGCGGCTCGAACATGGTGCTACAAGATGACCAGCCGACGTGCCCACTGAAGGAATCCGGGGAGGGTGGGCGTCGTTTATCCACTTGAATTGACGTTGATGACGATGAACCCTCGTCGATGATGGCTGACGCTTGCGCGGAAGTAGAATTACGTTTTTCGATGACAAAGTTGGTCGCATCTTGATGTGCGCTGGCCATTGCTGTTGCGTCTGATATATATATATATATATATATATATATATATATATATATATATATATATATATATATATATATATATATATATATATCAGACGATAATGCCAAGCAAAGTATAGGGGAAGTTAATAATTAGACCGATTTGTAATGCCAATTTCAAAGAAGAAAAGTGGGTGGAAGGACTACTTGCCGAGGGAAGGAACCGAACTGCACATGGCAAGTCATCTTAGTGTGTGTGTGTTCATCATAAGAAGCTCGACAACCTATACGAATTAGAAAGCGAAACTCGTAAGACTGATAGTGAAACTTGGGAGAAATGTTTTTACGTGAGCATCAGTTGCATTGCATTGAGAAGTGGTCGAGGGCAGACTGTTTGGTGGCCATATCATTAAGTGCTATCTCTTCCAATCTCTTTCAGCATCTGATGCCTCACTTTTCTTTGTCCCGCTAGATTCCCATGACAATGGCAACGTTGTGCGTCACTTTCATAGGGATGACGCAGATTATGGTCGCCCTGGAACGAGATATTGAATATACAGAGCTCCCGAAAGAGGTACTGTTATTTTTTTAGGTCTGCATCATTGGTTTCTTCAAAACTCTAGGAGTGCATGATAACCGTGAATGCACATTCTGCAGGAAGCTTATAGATATTTTAACAGGATAATGATCAAAGCTCGGAACATCTTCGAAGAAAGCAATGTAGTGAGATGGCTGGTGACATCGGAGGCATCTAAGTTATGTGGCCTCTGCGGGGTGTCCTAGGGCACTTTCAGAGAGGAAGGGGAGAATACATACAATTTTTTTGGAGGCCACCACCTTGATCTGAAGCGGTGAAGACCGAAAAGGCAAGCATGGTCGAGTGACATATTGTCTTCTTTAGGCGAAGAAAATATAATTAGGTAAGCGCACGCACAGGGGGGGGGGGCGAATTTTTCGCTATGCCAATACTCACGGTATGTGCTACACGTACACTTCCCGTTTACCCGCGTGATTTTTAGCGTACTACGATGTATAAGCATCGAGAAGTGACGGAGTATAATTCCCACTGGTGGTGCTGTTTCGTGTGGTCATTTTAAATCGACATCGTCCTTTTTACTTAGTACTGCAGTATGTCATTTTGAACGTTTTGCGTGCGCAACCATACATGATTACCTTCTTACAAAGCAGGGTTTTCGACGCGACCAGCCCCACCGAGCTCCACTGAGTTTCATTGACCGAACGTACATGGCCAGCTGTTTATAGACATCTTAATTTGTCATATTAACTTATGCTAGTCTTAGTCATTTCTTTCTTATCGTCTCTTTCTTTTCTTACCTCTTGAAAGAGTAAGCAGGCGTTGTACTCTCAAAGTGCCAGTTGTTACCTTGCTCTGGCTCCTTTTCTCTGTGCCCGCATATATCTGCGTATGCAAGTATGATTTTAAAAATCACCAACTTATCCGTGCAGGCTGACGTTGAATACACTACCGCCACCGAGGACGCAGCCGAGCAAAAGATGAACACCTCAGCGGCTGAGGTACATCGAGTCGACAAGACGTGGCCCTCTGAAGGTCGCATCGATTTCGAAGACTTCTCGGCGTCCTATCGGCCGTCCGTCCTAAACGACTCCCTGAGGCACGTCACGTTTACAGTCAGCGCAAGGGAGAAGGTGAGAGCGCACGTCATGAACGACTACATATTATGCGTAAGGTAATACTCAAGAACATACAGAAGTGGGGGGAAGGGCTTGCTTTTTATATATTGATTTATTAAGTGCAAAGCATTTATTAGCGACTTTTGCCGAGTTTGAGCATATCTGTCTGTCTGTCTGTCTGTCTGTCTGTCTGTCTGTCTGTCTGTCTGTCTGTCTGTCTATCTATCTATCTATCTATCTATCTATCTATCTATCTATCTATCTATCTATCTATCTATCTATCTATCTATCTATCTATCTATCTATCTATCTATCTATCTATCTATCTATCTATCTATCTATCTATCTATCTATCTATCTATCTATCTATCTATCTATCTATCTATCTATCTATCTATCTATCTATCTATCTATCTATCTAACTAACTAACTAGCTAGCTGCCTACGACTTTTAGCTCTCCTGCCCGTTTCAATATCAGTCTAAGTACTAAAATTGGTATGGTTTAATATGAGTGTATTACGAGAATAAGTGACTAGTCATAACATCAAAGTCATGATATGTGTGTCATGAATGTCATGATTTACAATTCATGGTCTTGCTGTCCTTGCGAAGGTTTCGTTTGAATAACACGTTCCAAAATGGTATGGTGTGACATGACTGCATGGCGAACACGACGAACAGACCCTTACGTGGAAATCGTGACATGAATGTCATGTTACGCAAGACTACATGCCACACTCATGATGCGCTCGTGGCTGTTTGGCTAGCTTCAATAATATCAAAACAGACGACGAAGAAAATGACACGTGCGAACATTATATTCATGACATGCTGCCATATAACATGAATATATGCCACACCCATGATGCGCTCGCGGCCATTTCCCTAGCTTGACATGCATCAAATGTGGTATTACGTGACGCGAACAGGCGAAGAAGGTAAAAGACATGTCCAAACATTATAATCATAACATACGTGTTGTGCAAAAACATGACTACATGCCACACTCATGATGCGCTCATGGAAGTTTCACTAGCGTCACATATACCAAATTTCGTATTACGGGACGTGAATGGATGCGGAAAGAATGTCACCGGTGCAAACATAATAATGATATTATGCGCGTCATGTAACAACTTTACTACATGCCAGACACATGATGCGCTCGCCACTGTTTCGGTAGCCTCACATATACCAAACTTGGTATTACGGGACATGATTGAATAAGGAAGATATACCACTGGTGCAAAAATGGTAAACATGAGGCATTTGGGCACACCACATGCGTTTCAAGTGACATGACTGCATGCCACACACACGATGCCCTCATGGTAACTGTCCTAGCCTCACGTATGCTAAATTTGGCATTACGGGATGTGAACGGACGTCGAAGATCAAAGACACCTCCAGACATTTAGATCCTGACAGCCGTGTCATGTAAAACATCACCACATGCCACACTCATGATATGCTCACGGCTGTTTTGCTAGCTTTTCATATACCATATTTGGTATTGTGAGACGTGAAGGAATAACAAAGGCATTTCAGTGGTGCAAACATGATAATGATTACATGGGTCTCATGTAACATCACGACTACATGGCCCACTCATCAGACACTCGCAGCTCTTTCGCTAGCCTCCCATATACCAAATTTCTTATTACGGGACGTGAATGGACGATAGTCGTATGTCACTGGTGCAAACAAGATAACCATGAGATGCTTGTCATCTAACAACATGACTACATGCTACCCTACTGATGCACTCGTGGCTGTTCCGCTGGCTTCATACCTAAATTTGGTATTACGTGACGTAGTGGCGTAGTCAAGGGGGGGTATGACGGGATTCAACCCCCCTCCCCCTGAAATGTTTCACGCAAGTCTCGACCCCCCCCCCCGCCACCAACAGCCACTTGCACACCTTTTTTTTCAGTGCTTCATCCTAACATGATTAAGCAGCTAAGTGGTTTACTATCACAATAACTTTCCTGTGCGCTTTTACAGTTGATAACGTGTGCACACGGGAAAAAGTGTCATGGAGTTTGTCAAGGCTTTGACACTCTGTGAGACTTTAAACGGGAATCACGGCGGTGAGTGTTGTAAGTTGGCTCGGTGACAGTAATAATGCTGCAGTGGTGGTCATACTTGTACTTGCCAGAACAGATCTCGCTGGAGTTGATTACCATGACAACTTTGTTTTATTTGTAAAAACACGTCACAGTTCCAAAGCTCGGTAGGCCACGTTCAAGCATAATACAGTTTGGCTCTGCGTATGTGTGCTAAGATATACTTAAACTAGAGAATACAATTCTATTTAAAATCCGCGCATTCAGCAAACATGTAAACATGCACAATCACACACATTCGCACGCGCACGCAGGAATATTTGGTTTATCTACCAAACTCCGCTTGTATGCGAATGTGCAATAGATTAGTACATTTATTTACTATGTCTGAACGGCTAAAGCCACTGCGAAGTGTCTAAAAAGTCGTGAACCTAAAGGAGCAACCTAAGAATCGCAGTGTGGGCAGCTGCAGTGAGCTCAAGTTTCATTGTTTAGCAGTGTGGAAAAGAGCGCTAGAATAAGAAACATGAAGCTAAAAATACGACAAATATATATTGTAAGGATTGAGGGCGAGAGACATAGACCGTATGTAGAGCTGGCTGTTCTTCGTCTGACCTATTTCTTGTCTTCCACCAAGCCTCACGCGCACCCATACCAGAGTTCCACTACATCTACATTACACTCGGCCACGCTGCGAAATTGCATGGGGAGCTACGGAAGCGAGTTCGGAAGTACGATAATGGCTGTACCGCAGTGTTCGTCGAAGGCATGCAGTCCTCGAACCCTGAACTACCACTGTTAGCCAAACTCTCTCTGGTAGCCGATGTTGACTCTGCCTTGGGGTCTTTGTATTGTAAGCCACAACCTGCCTCGCTGTGCTTCCTGACATTCTGCAGGGCAACATTGGCTGCCTCGATGTGGCCGCAGTACGCTTAGGAGATGATGCTGGTGCTGCATTTTGACGCGCCAGTCGTCAACCACTTTCGTGCAGTGAGCGCGCAAAAGCTTGCGAAGCGCAGACGGTGCGCGAGTTTGGACAAAGTACGAAAAGAGGCCGTAATTTGGCTTACCAGCTTCTGCTTTGACATCTCTGAAATTTTCAGTTCTGCGGCAAATAGGAGAATAGGTGGTCTCTCGCGGCTCTGTATCACGTTCGTATGTTTGAATACTAACATGCCTGCACCTTGCACTGAAATCAGAGACATTTCCTGAAGGCACCTCGCTACTTTGCTTGAACTGTTTGCCGTCGAACCGGTGGGTTTGTGAGTGGTGGGGCCTAAGATGGGAAGAGCCATTTTGTGTTCATCCGCGCGGCCGTCTGGTAATAGACAGAATGTCGCAAAAGAGTGTTTCCCATCGTCAGCAGACTAGCATCCATCGCTATCCGGTTGAATAAAGCTGGCTCTGCTTACCTGCGGTGCAATATTGATCTCCTTTCTGGCTTCTTTGAAAGGAACGCTTGAGCCCTCGGCCAATGACTGCCCCTAAGTCATAAGGTGCGTGTCCGTCTGGTCACAATAGCTGGTCTTTGTATGAGTAAGACTAGCTAACGTGGTAATACTAGGCCGTTGAAGTAGTGGTCTATTGACTTGGGTTCTTCAGGTTGATGCGAGACTCGAAGTCGAGGAGCTGTGGTTGACTCCAGTGTGATCAATGGCGAGGTGAACTTCACCACAGGAAAGAAATTTCCGCTCCTAGGATTACATCAGTGAGCAGGTCCTCAAGTACCAGAATGCTGCAAGGAACATGCTCCAGGCTTTTGTTTAGGGGTGCAGTTTAAGTGCACCGACAGGAAAAACGAAGCCAGCGAGGAAACGCAGGGTTGCCTCACGCCATGGGCGCAGGTTGGCAAGGGCATGGTGTACATGCAGCACCGTGCGTGGAGCTTGAATTTGCGCCAGGGCCGTAAGCTCTAGCGCTAGACGAGACCACCTTTCGTGATGCGCGGCGTGATTTCCGGAATCTGGTGCTATAACACCACTCAGACCTCCGAAAGTCAATGAGTAGTTCTCCATCTGAAATGGCAAAAAAACCAAGTCGATTGCAGTGGTTGTTCGAGGGCAGGTTCTCAAGCTGCCTGTCGATGCGCTGCACTGTGCAGTTGCAGCCTAGAGGAGGTTCTACAGAACCTCATCCTCGGAATGTCTTGTTTGGCATGCATGTGTCATGGCAGAGCTGATCAAAGAGTGGTATGACCCGGCCACTTAATTCTATCCAGACATGTTGCACGACACCTTAGTACTTGTGCCATGCTCCTGAACCACCGCGCAAGCAGCTGATGGCCATCAGCCATTTTTGATTGTCGGACAAGGCATGGCGCAAGCCGAGCGCATTCATAGTTAAAATCCATGGGTGGGCGTCATCTTGAGAGCCTCCGAACTCCAGTAATTCTGAGGGTGGTATATGAGACGCAGCTGGCCAGACGCCGGAGCCCAACGATGCCAGTGGTTGAGCTGTTGGGGCAGTTGCGTGAGAACACGCGCAAGCTCCATGTTGTTGTCGGGTGAATCGCCCGATGGAACAGTCGCCCACACAGGTACCATAGGTTGGCTAACCAGCACATCGAATGATGGTCGGTCACTACCTTGAAGTGGCGTCCATAAAGGTAATGCCTGAATTTCATCGTGGATCATACAACAGTGAGGCACTCTTTCCCGGACATGGAGTAATTGACCTCGGTGCTGGAAAGAGTAAGACTAGCGTACGCTGTCACTCACACTGTGTCCATTTCTTGTTGAACGAGAACAGCACCAAGATGCACGTTGCTGGTGTGAACGTGAATCTCAGCCTCAGCATCGTGGTCAAAGGTCAAACGAAAGGGCCAAAGGAGCAAAAGTCAAACTGTCGTTCGATAAACTGAAAGTCAATGATAAAGTTTATACTTGGGACCCAGTAAAGAATGCTAGAACAGATATATCGAAGAAAGCGGGTCCACCACGAAACAACCG